AGGTACCGGGGCAGAGCCGCCGCCTCCCGGGAGGCCTCCTTGCACGGCTCGCTGATGCTCTCCGGAGCGGGCTCGTGGCGCCGGCGGGGAGTGCTGCGGGAGCTGTTGGGACTGCAGGGGGCAGCTCCCGCCGGGTGGCAGTCGGAGGAGCGCGCCGAGGAACAGTCCCCCGGCGGGCCGGGCGGCAGCAGGATGTGCATGGAGCCCCGCGAGCACGCGTGGATGCTGGCGGCCGCCGAGGGCCGCTTTGAGGTGCTGCGGGAGCTGCTGGAAGTCGAGCCGGGGCTGCTCCTACGGGGTGACCCGATCACCGGCTACTCGGTGCTGCACTGGCTGGCCAAGCACGGGCGCCACGNNACGGGCGCCACGAGGAGCTCATCCTGGTGCACGACTTCGCCCAGCGCCGGGGGCTGCCGCTGGACGTGAGCGCCCCGGGGAGCGGCGGCTTCACGCCCCTTCACCTGGCGGCCCTGCAGGGCCATTACCTGGTCATCAAGGTGCTGGTGGGCGCCTTGGGAGCCGACCCCACGCGCCGTGACCACAGCGGCCACCGGCCTTGTTTCTACCTGCGGCCCGACGCGCCCTGGAGCCTGCGGGAGCTGTCGGGGGCTGAGGAGTGGGAGACGCCGAGCGGCTCTGAGCGGAACAACGCCAACAACAACAGCAGCGGCGGCGCCTCCGCGTGGACGCTGCGAAGGACTCTGAGCGCGTTGGGTGCGACGGCCTCCGAGACGACGAGAGCGGCGAGGGTGCCCCGCAAGGAGAAGGACTCCACGGGCAGCCGGGTGGCGCAAATTCAAGGCTTTTTCCGCCAGATATTCCCCTTCTTCCAGGACCGTTGAGGGTCACGTAGGTGAGAGCGCGGAGGGACCGCACCGCTGTGGCCAGGCCTCGGTCCTTGGGTTGTCGAGTGTGCTGGGCCTGCGAGGAGCAGACCACCTCGGGTCTTTCTCGGGTACCTGTCACAAGTCTCCTGCAGCCACCGGCCAGGGGACTCGGGGACCGGGCGCCCCCATCCCCACCCCCAACCGAGAGAGCAAAGACCAAGCTGTCCTGGGGCCGAATCCCAGGAATTGGAGTTAGGAGCAGGAGCGTGGTCCTGCTTGGGAGAGGGCAAGTTAAGCTTCAGTAGACATTTCTGATGTGGCAGAAGTTCTGGTGTATTGCCAGGAGAATGAGTTAAGACTGTAAACCACTGATGCAGAGTAAGCGCCTAACTGCAGGCTTGACTGGGCTGTTAAAGGGTCAGTTTGTGCCGCCAGACTCAGCCCCTGGCTACCTGTTCCTGAGACAACCAGGCCTTACTGGTCCCTTTTCAAATGTATCACGGATGACTTCTTAAGCATATTAAAGCGGAATTGTTTTCCCTTCACATGACAAAGCTGTCCTTCGAGTTATTTTTTCCCCCCATTAACCACCGAGGGGGAGCTTCCTACATTTGCAGGGAAGAGGTCACCCACCCATGGCCAGGAGCCAGTGACGCAGGGCAGGCTCTGGACCTCATTCTCAGAGCAAATGGCGGAGCCCTGCACTGAAAGAGCTACTTTCACCTTGACTCTGAGTAGAAACCCACACTCTACCTGTTGATTGGGCTCTTGAGCATCTAGGTCTGGGCTCTGGTCCAGTCTCCTCCTAGAGGAGTTGTGTGTAGGGGGAAGAAGGGTGGTAAAAGGGAAAAGCCCCCAGATGGACATTTCTGATATTTTGTGGTGAGTCATGTCATTTACCTGGACTTCTGCCTTCCAGTGAGACACACCCACTGGCACTTTTTTTCTGAGATAGGGCTTTAATCATCATCATGTGCTTTTTTTCTTTTTGAATCCTCACCCGAGGATATTTTTTCCATTGATTTTTTTAGAGAGAGTGGAAAGGAGGGATGGAGGGGGAGAGAAAGAGAGAGAGAAACATCGATGTGAGAGAGACACATCCATTGGTTGCCTCCCCGACACTCCCCAACCAGGGCCAGGGATGGAACCTACAACCCAGGTGTGTGCCCTGACTGGGAATCGAACCTGAGACCCTTTGGTGCGAGGGCTGACCCTCTAACCACTGAGCCACACCAGCCAGGACATCATTTGCTTTTTAAAAAAATTACACTTAATATATAAATTGCAGTTTGGATAACCATTCCCATTTAGAAGTAGTATGAACTGAGCAGAACACAGAGTGGCTAACTCGAACTGAAAGGAGGGGAAAGCATTTGGAGGCTAGAGTTAATGTGTAGGGGAAGGAGGGTGGTAAAAGGGAAGGGCTTCCAAATGTACATGCTGTCTTAGAGGACAGTGTATTTTTAAAAATAATGCAGTATCTCTGGAGGCTTGGGTAGCCCTTGCAATCGACTGTTGTGTCCCCAGCCCTCCCATCTCAGTCCTTGAAAGTGAGTCATCACAGAATACAGAAATACTACCCACCCTTGAGCCCATCCATCCAGATTTCCATCTCTGCCTAGTGGGCCTATTTATTACCCACTCTGTGTCCCCACACAACCCCACCTTCCCTTAGTAACCCATTAGACTGCTTTCATCCATGAAATGATCCAACCCCTTCCTATTGATGTTTTCAGCCTGTTCCATGTCTCTAGGATCTGCACCTTAAACATCCTTATACAGTGTAACAGCATTTCCTTTCTTTCCTTCTTTGTTTTAAATATTTATTTTTCAAACATTTGTACTGATTTTAGAGAAAGAGGAAGGGAGAAGGAGAGAGAGAAACATCAACTGGCCACCTCCCACTACTAGGGATCGAACCGGTGCCCTTTGAGTTCATGGGACCACACTCAACCAACTGAGCCACTCTGGCTGCACCTTTTTTCTTCTTAATTAACTATAATGTTTTAAGCAGAGGCGGTGAGCAGTTCCTGGCTTCTGGCATTTGGCATTAGCAGCTGGCATAACCTCCCTGTACCTTTTTTGCCCATTTTATAGATGCAAATTGACTAATTGATGCAAGATTGTGGTTTCTGCTCCACAACCTCCCCCTTGACAGCTGCCAAGGTGGGTTAGACTTGGCGAAGGCTGCCAGGGCAGGGTTCTTCCTGCCACATGGCTGAGTCTGTGGGTTCCTGGCTCGGAGGGAACATTGGCATGTGTCTTTGCCCAACATTCAAAGGACACTTATGACAGTGGTCCCCTCTTCATAGGCTAAGTTTGAACCTAAGTGTGTTAACTGTTAGCAAATTTGGGGACCTGAGACCAGCTTACGCCTTGCTCTTTCCAAAATGAAAACCAAGTCAGCTAGAAGATTTGAAAGCGGCTTTCTATCATTTTTCCTGTAGTCAGCTATTCTTCCCCGCAGATTTTTCTCATCATGTGATATTGCCTAGCCTACCTCCTCCATGTAAAATTGAGGTTTGGCTGCAGGGGACATACTCCCATTCTGAAAACTCTCCATGCCTAACATCAAGCCATTGGCATTCCTGGTATGCTTTTCGAGGCAAGACTGGTATGCTTACCCCAAGAGAAAACAGATTCCCTGAGAAACTTCTTTCCGGGAGAGCAAAACGGAGTTAAGCAGATGATGCAGATCTGCATTCTAGTGGGGCTTGTAGACAAGAAAAGGAGACGGAAGCAGGGCTGTGAGGTATAAACATTGGGGGAGGGGTACTGCTTGGAGGGCCAGGCCTGGTGCAGGCTGAAAGGTGCTGGAGAGGCTTTCAGGGAGGAAGGTAATTCCTGATCTGAGGTCTGGGTGAGTGGGAGATGGTCAGTGAAGGGGGAGGGGCCTTCTGGCCGAGGCACTGGAGTGTGTATGGGCCAGTACAGCGAGTACCGGGAAATGTAAGTCAGCCTGTTTGGCAGGAAGATGGGAGCTAGAGAGTAATTAATGGCAAAGCTGGAGAAGTGGGTGGGGGTCCAGATCACTGAGGGTCTCATAGGTCATGCTAAAAGAGAAACATCGATCTTCACCTAAAGGTAGCTGGGAGCCATAGAAGGTTTCCAAGCAGAGGAGTAACATGAGGTTTTAGAAAAATTCCTCTGCCAGTCACATTGAGGATGGATGTGCCAGGGGAGACAACTTGGGGAAAAGGCATCACACAAGCAGTGTTTTTGGAGAAAGCCTTCAAGAAAAGTCATGCTTCAGCTGAGAAGTTCAATGACCCCTATGGAGCTCAGTGGCTTTCAAACATTTTTTCTTCTCCATGGCCTTTGATCTAATGAAGCTTACTTCGAAGCCCCCTGTGTCAAACTGACAAATGCAATGCTGCTCAAATTGAGGCTAGGCTCTGAGCTCCCCACCCCAGGGCCTCTGTCTTGAATAGTCTCACAGAGGGTGCCTGGAGCAAAATTCAAAACCACTGGTGAGCGGAAAGCTCTCAGCTTAACCTGGGTTCCATCCTGACTGCTGACTAGTGGCCTTGAGCAAATCACTCACTTCTCTGAGTTGCAATTTTCTTATCAGCAAAATGGGAACAATACAATCTCCCTTGAGGTTTGTTCTGAGGATTGGAGATAAGTGTAACGCCTAGTGTTGCAGGACACACAGGAAATAGGAGATGATAGCTGTTGTTTGGAAGAATTGAAAGGTGCACAGCAGGCGGGCTCTTGTGGTGAAACTATTTTATTCTTATTTTTAATATGTTTTTATTGATTTCCGAGAGAGGAAGGGAGAGGGCAAGAGAGAGAAACATCAATGATGAGAGAGTCATTGATCGGCTGCCTCCTGCACACCCTGAAACCCGGGCACGTGCCCTAAACCATGACCTTCAGGTTCGTGGGTCGATGCTCAACCACTGGACAATACCAGCTGGGCATGGTGAGACTATTTTACCTGTTGGCCTAGTCCAGGAGGAATCTTGTGGTCACCTGTATTATCCCATCTGTAAAACGTATCTGCTTGGATTACAAGTTATTTTCTCTCTGTGCCAGTTGAGTGGCTGTTCCTCAAAGGAGATACGGGTTCCTTTGCTGACGTTCTTCATGACCTACATTCTTTTACTTTAGACATAATTGTAACCAGCTGCCTTACCTTGTTCTTGGCCCACAGAAGTAAAAGCAGCAGCTTAATTAGTGCCCATCAAATATTAAATAGGTTAGCTACACTTTCCAGATGAAATCATAAACTGGAGTCAGAGCTAAACCTGAAATCCTCTGAAGGGAATAAAAGCATTCTCGTCCCTTATCTCCTGACCCTGTTATCTGTGGGAAGGCCTTCCTCCCATTCCAGCCATCATACCCTACATTCCACACCCAGCCTCCATGTCTTCCCGATTTCCGCTTATTTTAGCGAAGGAGCACGCCTGGCTACTTTCAAGCCGTAACTCATGCTGTCAGCCCTGTCTCCTCCAAGGGCCTTACTCCCTCAATCCCTTTCCTGTATCTTCAAGCTCACCCTCAGTTCAGTCCTGTGTAATAACATTTATTGGGAGCCTGCTAGAAGCCAGGCTCTTTGGGTGGCAAACAGGCTTAAGTCTCCCCCAGCCTTCTGGCTCAATCTTGTGACTTCTCTTCACAGCCAAGCCTCTCGAAGAGGTCTCCTCCCCTCTTTCCTCACCTATTTTTTTTTTTTCTTCTTCTTTTTTTTAATCTTCAACCCAAGGATATTTTTTTCCATTGCTTTTTTAGAGAGAGTGCAAGAGAGAGAGAGAGGGGAGAGGGACAGGGACAGGGACAGGGAGACAGAGAAACATCCATGTGAGAGAGACACATCAGTTAGTTGCCTCCCGCACACCCCCCAACTGGGGCAGGGATTGAGCCTGTAACTGAGGTACGTGCCCTTGACCAGAATCGAACCCAAGACCATTCAGTACATGCGCTCTAACCACTGAGCAACTGGCTAGGGCCTCACGTCTTTTTTTCTAATTCATTTTTATTGATTTATTTGAGAGAGAGAGAGTGAAAGAAAGAGGAAGGGAGAGAGAAACCTCGATTTGTCGTTCCACTTATTTATGCATTCATTGATTGTTCCTTATATGTGCTCTGACCAGGGATTGAAC